TAAATCGTTATTTAACGTATCTAATTAAATTTACTGATGTTTTCCATTTGTACCTCTTGCCATTGTTGTTGATTTTCCTGTAGTTGCTGCTGACTTTCTTGCAACTGTTGGAGACTTTCTTCCTGTTTCCTTTCTTGTTCCAGTTGCACTGCTGTAATCTCTCTCCTTGTTTATTTTCTTTTTCCTCCAACAACTGTAGTAATCTCTCTTCTTGTTTATTTTGTTGTTCGAGCTGCCACTATTGCAGATTTTCTTGCCACTGCTGTTGTCTCTCTTCTTGTTACTTTCTTGTTCTTCTTGTTTCTTTTCTTTTTCCTCCAACAACTGCTGTAATCTCTTTTCTTGTTTCTTTTCTTGTTTATTTTCTCGTTCTTCTTGTTTCTTTTGCTGTTCTTGTATTGTTGCCATCAAATCTGCTAAGCTGTAGTTTTATTTGCCACTTCTTGTTTCCATCTTCTGCTTTTTTTTTTTCATCCCACTTCTGACACCAATTTGTTGTGTATCTGCTTATTTGTTAATTTCTGGTAGAAATTCTTTCCGAGGAACCTCAGCGATACAAGTTCTTTTTTGATTAAATCAGTTTATTCTTTCTCAATATAAACGTTTAGTACACATTAATTCCATAGTCAGTACATTTCTTATCATTTTAAACTTAACAACTTTTATAATACATGCTATAAATCACAGCGATTCACAATCTCGATTACTTCACTTACTACGAGTGCAAAACACACACATTAAATTGAAAAAGAATCATAAATTACCCGAAACTCACTGTGACTACTGTTCACTTTACCATCCATTCAATCCCGCTGGCTTTTCTCGCCAGCCTTATATACTAACAAAGAGGCTTCTCCAAAATTTGCAGGGGTTCCCCGATAATTCAAGAAATTCAGCCACGCATGCACCAGAAGGGTCATGTAACTTCCGCTGTTGTAACAATACCATGCATTTCTTCCTTCCTGATCTAATATAGTATTATACTAAATTTAACATATGTTTTAGTATGTGCAATTTTCATATCACATGTTGTCAAGAAAGATTAATGTCATTTTAGTTGTCTTTGTTCCTTTACATTTTTTTCGTAATATACTAAAGATAATGTTAAGCAGTTTAAACTTGCTGAGAAATGATGTATGAAGTAACATTGGTCTCGTATCGTAATGTAATTCATTTTCAGATCTTTCCAGAAAAGGACGTAGTAATTATAAATAGAAAATTTGAATTAAGAGTAAAAGTAGTAATAATACAGTACAGTTTAATGACAACACATCTCTTTGATTTTTCTTTTGGTCTGAACATCTGAACCTTTAATAGCTTTTGATTCATGGGTTACATTTGTAATTACTTGTTCTTGATGGAATAACACTTGCATCTAGATATCACATTTGCCCTTTTTTTATTTTTGTACATAAACTAAATGATACTGATACTGGGTATTCAGTTTGGAAAATTGATTTAAAAACTTGATCAAGATGGTGCAGATACTTTATACAGTTATTGTCAATTACATCTGACTTAGAGGAAGATAACACTATAGATCAGAGTTAGAAATAGCTTATAAATAATGAAACTAATTCCATACCTGTGTGAAATAACATTTAATGTATATAATATATGGATATGTATTAAATGTAATAAGCATGTATTTGAAGGTATGAAAGTAACCTGTAAGAATATATAAAGTAGCAGGGAATTTAGAACTTGAAACATTATGGGAACTCTGATGTAAATTGCTGAAAGAATGTATGTATTCTATAGAATGTACTGAACATAAAAGGACATTTTTTTTTCTTTCACCTGCCACATCCAAATGCTACTTTTATAAAAATATTGAAAAATAAATGTGTAAAAGGATAACATTAAAATAAAATTTAGATTTATAACTCTGAAGAAAGACTACTTAGGATGTGTCCTTCGGATGATTTCGAAGGATGCTTCTTTCTTTACCTCCACCTATTCAATGTCAGATTCTAGCTATTTATGTGAGCTGGGGTAATGTACCGTATCGGAAGTTATTTCTGATAGGTACTTACTTCCTCTCACACTTCCCACCCTTCCTCCCCACTGAAAACTGGTGCTTCCGTCTTATGCAAAAACTCTAGGTGATAGTTTGGTAGAATTGAATAGAGGGAGTCACATGCATCATGAGAGTATGTCGCACCTTCATTGGTGGAGGGTTGTCGCATGACAGTTTGCAAGAGAAATGTATTGGGATCAGTCAATACCAATTGAGGGGAGATAAAAGGCTTGTGGCATACGTGCATAAGAATTATTTATGGATATAGAGGACTACACTGAATGAGAATAGCTATTTATGTGAGCAGAAGTAAGTACCTATTGGAAATATATTTTTAGTAGAGGTAAATTAGAACTTTTTGTAAAACAAGGTCCTCATTTTATGTGTGTGCTTCACAATCATCCCTGACAATTTGGTCACTAGTAATTCATCAGTTTTGTTTGTATTGAGGTTTTATTACTAGCCAACCAGTTATGCTTAAAGCTAGTAAAATTTGAAAATTTACCCTATTGTTCATTTGTTTTAGTATTTATTTTAAGCTCTTTTTCTAACTATTAATGTTAAAATTGTCACATCATTATTCATTTGAAGCTATTGACTAAACTTTTCCTGACAACTGACTGTTTACAATTATTTTTATAGATCACTTTATCATGAGTGTTCTTCTCGACAAGGTTCCATATCAGTTGAAAGTACTGGAGAAAAACATGGGATAAATAAGGACCAGATAACTTCCAAAAACCATAAGGAACTTGTCAAGACAGCAAATCTGCTATTTAGCACACTCGAACCTTGCTATTTGTGGCATTATCTTGCTAGATGTTTCCAAGAGAGCTGTCATCGCAACAAATGTGCAGATAGTGGGAGCTATTGTCCCAAAAGAAATTCAACTGCTGTTGAGCATGTTGGAGCAGGTCCACCAAATATTCAAGAAGTTGGTTGCCTTATTGACTTTCTTTTAGATGTTGTTTCTTTGGTAAGAAATATTTCTTAATGATAGATACTTGTATGTGATTTTGATTTTGTAAATAATTCTCTGTCATTCAAAGTATCTTAAGCTCATAAATAACTGTTTTCTTCTACAGAGAAATATTATTGTCAGCCAATGAGCATTGAAACACACAAAGCTATTTTTCTTAGAGCATATTTCATGAAATACCTATAATTATAGTTATTTTTACTGATATATGTGCACTTACTAAGTATGTATATGTATTACCTTTCTTTGTTGTAGTTTATGCTAATCTTTTCTATTAAAATATCAGAATGGTTGTAGTTGAAAGAAATAATCTGAAAAGTCACAACACTTTATAATAATACTAGGTTTTAATGGTATTTTTTTGCAATATTAAGTCTACACTTTTTAGATATGCCATACTTCAACTGAAAGTATATCTGACAAAATAAGTATTTAAGTAATTCTTCATATGATAGACAATCTGATTTCTTTCATCTTTCGTCCTGTAATGTGCTACTCATTACTTTCTCCTTAATCACAAGAGATTCCCTCCATTAATAAGTAACCTCCACAAGTACCTACTTGCAGTACAGCTTTTAATAACATTTCTCAGTTGCTTTACTCAATCTTTGGTTATTATTTTTAATCAACAATTGTATTGTCAAGTTACTTTTTTATTGTAAAGCATTGTTGGGTACATTTGTTAGCTGAACTTATTGCACTATGAAGGTTTGGCCCTTCCAATTTGTTCATTTCAACTAACAATTGAGGAATGTATCACCTTCATTTTTCATAAAAGTATCTTTATTTATTTATTGATGTTTCTGTTATGACTTCAGATTTTACTGTTTCGCATACTGACATACCTGTCACATTTTTGTATCTTTGGTGTCATGATATCATTTCGATCAATTGTAATCTTGTGTTCCTTATTAGCTTTTCTGGGGATTTCAGACAAATGTCTTTAGAACTCTTCTTCTGAAAGAAATATTTTGCCAGTTCCCCTCAGATTTGAAATTGCTCATTCTTCCTCGGAAAAAAATGTAGCTCATTTGTTTAAGTCTATTTCAGGAGGCTTGAGCTTTTTATTGTCATTTTATCTATTGACAGAGTTGTATTGAAACAAGTTACATTCTGATTGATATTTTTGATATGCTTTCACCTACCACTGCCAGATGGAAGCATTTTAGACTCTCAGAGAATAGATCCGCTCCTGGAAATGTGGGGTTCCAGAACAGAGTCTGTGGTCAACAGGACTATATCACAATTTTCTAGGATTCATCTGACCCTATCTTTGATGCTGAGGTATTTATTATCCCTACACCTTTTTAGGAACCAGTTCTTTCTGGGTTTTATTCCTGTTTGTTTGTTGTACCCTAGAAGATGGGAGATTGGAGTCTAGTCATCAATCTTTCTTATCTACATCAATTCCTAGATCCTTGAAGGTTCACGATGGAGTCATTCCTTACTCTGCATTGGCATTTTTCACCAGGATTGTGGATAACCGAGTTCGATATCATCTATGCCCATCTGCATGTTCCCATAGCAGACTTGCCCTGCTGTTATCTGTGTTTTATGCATAAGGGTCATGTGCTGCAGTTCACGGCTCTGTCCTTTGGACTAGCATCGGCACTGTATGTGTTCTGCCAAGTTGTACAAGCTTTTTCTCATCACCTGCATTCTCTAGGCTGTGCAAACACCATTACATGAATGATTGGTTACTGCTGGTACCATTTTGTCAGTTGCCAGAATGTCATATCCAGATTCTACTTTCAGAAGCAACCAAGGCAGGCTTTATTATCAGAGCTGAGAAATCTATTCACACTGCACCACAATATATCATCCATCAGGGTGTCTCTTTCAACTCTTATGTCATTCGGGCTCTGCTGACTCCCACCTGTCCCCATGCTGAGGTACAGGCAGTCTGACTCTTACTGACATCTCTTTTTCCCAAGGTTTTTTATCTTTTGGGGGTGTGGACATCACTCTATTCCCTCATTCTTTTGGGATGAGCTCACATGATAGATTCCTTCAGTGGTCTCCACTGGATTCCCCATTTTCCTTACTCAGAATTGACATCTTCGATCTCGAGTGGTGGTTAGATCGGAACAATACTATGATCGGTGTTCCTCTGCCGTCACCTCATCCAGCACTCCATCATTTTATGAATGCCTCACTTCAGGGATGGAGTGCATATCTTAATGATCAGGAATTCCAGGGCCAATGGACAGATGATGAGGCTTACCTTCACAATGTTTTAGAACTTCTTGCTGTTCAAAGAGCAATGTCTCAAGTCTGGAATTATTTAGGGACAAAGTCGTCATGCATCAAACTCCGACAATTCTATGGTGGTATGTTACATTTCCTGTCAAGGGGCATTTTGTCCAGGTGTATTTGTTTTTGAACCTTGGATCTTCGATATTGGGACCACTCCCATCATATCTTATTACTAAATGACTGTGTTTTTTTGGGCAGGATGAATTTGGTATCAGATCAATTGTCTCGATCCTTCTGGATTCTCCCTACAGAGTGGATGCTTCATCGAGTGGTTTTCTGTTGGATTTGCTCTCAGTTTGTGACACTGATGATCGATGCATTTGCCACTAACTAGAACACTCAACTACCAGCATTTTGACTTTTGGTACCTCAGTAGATGCATTTGGTCAAGACTGAACTGGATTGCACCTATATGCCTACCCACCTATTCTTCTGTTACCCAGAGTCCTAGCAACTATTTGTTCAACCCCTGGTCCCATTCTGTTGGTAGCACCGGATTGAATGGCTCAATACTCATTTCTGCTTTGCGATACTTTCAGGTGTGCTCACTTCCACTTTAGATGTCTCTGTTGATGCAGCCATGGTTAGACATCTTACACCTGTCCACCCCAAAGCTCAAGCTTCATATATGGAGGTTATGCAGTCCTTTGTACTGCATTTGGGTCTAACTTCTAAGATTGCCATGTACCTGTCTCAGTCTCTGTGTCATCCCACGATGGACATTTATCAATGGAAAACTGGCACACATATCGACAATTGAGTATTGTGAGGAGGTTGAACCCACTTCATCTGGACATACCAACCATTGCTTGGTTTTTGACTTGGCTCTTTGACAAGGATTTCACATCTTCCAACAATTGTCCAAAATCAGGTGGCCTTATCAGCTACCTTTAGATATTCGATGAGACAATAATTCTTTGAGTCCCCAGTGCTCTATGGCCTTCTCATGTCGCTTCAGGTCCTTCATCCCAAATGCTTGTCTGAGATATAAAGATGGTGTTACATGCTCTTTCTTGACATCCATTTGAGCCCATAGCCTCATGTACCATGTATCACCTTTCTCTTAAGGTTTATTTTTTGTTGCTGCTGGACTGCAGACATCGCTGGTTGGAGTTGTTTGCGTTGCACGTGAGTAGGACACTTTATCATTCTATCTATCTATGTCCTTCTTACCTCAGGCACTGGCAATCACTGAAGGGGATAAATCTTTTTTCAACAATTTCACAATGTATGTTTGTGAATCATAAAAACAGTGCACGATTTAGGTTCTGAGTGAAGAGCATACCTGTTCTGGATGTAGTGCGGTTCTCCACTAGGTGCTACCCTTCTTTTGGTGCGACCACGATCTATACAGATGCATTCTGTATGGATAATGGCCTAACCAGCCCCTCAGCCTTCTCAGTGTAGAATTCTAGTTGTAGTGTGAGAGGAGTTAAGTTTGTTTTGGATGTTAATGTTTTCCCTCACTCTCTTGCCTTTCCTCCCCGCTAAGAGCTGATGTTAGAGACTACATATTGGATTGGTCTTGAAAAAATGATAATATTATCTGAAGTAGGTGCTTATATACAGTACTGAGATAGAGGGCACATTGATGTAGGTGGAGAGTGTCATGACACAGATATTGCCCAAGGCAATTAAGTGGGGAATAAAAGGCTGGAGCAAGCGAGAAAAAATCAGACCAATGCTTTGATGGCCAAAGGTAAAGAGACCGTAGCAGTTGAGTAATAGCTGTAGTGTAAAGAGAGATAAGTATTATTGGAAATACATTTTTGATTGAAGAAAATGTTAAATATTATTTACCTTTGCATATTTGTTACTGTAATTTATTTGTTCTCATATCTCTATGTTAGTGATGATGAAATTCAATTGTTGTTATTTTAAAATCATTTAATTAACCTGCTTTGTGCCAACATGCCCATATTTTGTTTTCTGATAAAAGAGTTACTCAAATAATATTTTTGGCTTTAATTGTTGATATAGCTTTTTTTAAATTATTGGTTAATTGCAGTTTTTTCTTATGTTTTCTTGAAAATTCCTGCAGTTTGTCTATGAAAACAACTTTATTTGTACATTTTTCAGTTTTGAGGCTAGCCTATATTAATCAGAGTTAATTACTGGTTACTATTACATGTATGTAAGTTTGTGGTTTGTACAGCAAACACCGGTGTCTTTAGAAGTGGTATGTTTATATATACTGTTTCAAACTGTGTATTAGTTAGCATCTTTTTATCATAGTGACACAAAGTGTGTTTCAGAAAGTAATGTACAATGTTCTGTAAATTACAGTGAAGTACAGTAACTTTTGCAAAAAATGGTATTTGGAAAGATCATAAAAACAAACTGATGAATAATACAGATATGTACATATATTAATATGCTATTACATCAGTAGTCAGACATATGTAATTCTTAATTGAAGGAATGGTTTGAAAAATAAAAATTGGAATCACACTTTAGAAATACTAGCTGGACGGTTCATCTAAGGCAGAAGACTGTGGGAAACAAATATATATATTTTAGTACAAAATTTTACTCAATTTTCAGGATTTATTTAAAGCATTTGGATTTTCACAAAAACATTTTGTTGAATTATTTTAGGAAACATATCTTGAGACACCAACAGAGCAATCTAAGGCAGAAGACTGTGGGAAACAAATATATATTTTAGTACAAAATTTTACTCATTTTTCAGGATTTATTTAAAGCATTTGGATTTTGGATTTTCACAAAAACATTTTGTTGAATTATTTTAGGAAACATATCTTGAGACACCAACAGAGCATCTTCCAGACTTGCTCAATCAATTAGGCAGTGCATTAGCCGAACACTGTGAAGCCCTATCTCCTATGGAAATATGTGATTCTCTGAATGTGTGTTCCCATATCCTTAGTAAGGCTCAGCCCCTGTTTATTAATGTACCAACTGAGACTTTTCATGATTTTCATGTTGCAAAAGAAACTTCAGAATGTGATAAACTGTCATCTAGTTCTGTAGAAAATATTGATAATGAGAAAGACACCTCACTAGTACCAGAAGAGCAGTCAAATCTTGGTTCAAAAAGCTGGGAAGAGAAACCAGCGGAGTTGACACTTGGTATCCAAGAATCATCATTACCTAATAAACATAAGCTTGATAATCAGATTTCATTAAAAGCAAAGATTTCAGCTACAAAACTTCAGCACAAGTCACCTGTAACTCAATGTATAAAAAAGTTTCAGGAATTTTTTATTAAATTTGTTAAAAATAGAATCCTGAAAGACTCGGAAGAAGCTGTAGCTTGTTTTTTGAAACTATGGCTTAGCAGAAAAACCAGTGAAAAGACAAGGAATGAAAAACTTGATCAGCTTCTCAACATGTGTTTACAAGATAGCAGGTTTCATGGAGTACTTGATGATGGAACCAATTTCCTCATTAATCTTTATGATAAGCACGTGGAAAACTTGCCAGAAGCTATTTTAAACAAAAATGCAGTTCAACTTTCAGAAGAAGCTCATGCATTTTTGGAAAGTTTTCAGTCAATTTGCCAGCTTCTTGTGGATATGTCTTCCTTTCCAACATTCTGTACCTCAGACAAGACTCTATTAGAAACAGTTGTGGAAGGTAAGTTGTATTACATTATATCATTTGTTAATTGAGTTTGTACAGAACAAAACAATGTTTATTAAGATTTCAGACTTACGTTGGTCAGTAGGTTAAATGTTATTTTTGTCTATATGAAAGAAAAAAAATAAAATTGCTAAATGGTTTAAAATCATTCTTTGACTATCTATCACATTCTCTCTTAAAGAATATTTTATGAAAATGAAATCTTGACTATAAAATTTTGCATTTAGTGAGTTGAAATTTTTTCCTTGTGGTGGATTAGTAATTTGACAGCTTTTCTGACCTTTTAAATCTTTCAGTAGATGTGTGAGCATGTTCTTTGGTGAAATTCCTACAGTTTTATTAAATAAATAAATATATATGTATATATATTTTTAATGGATCTTATGTGCCATTTTATGTCACATGAGCTGACAATGATTTCTCCCATATATTGGTGGAATAGAGAACTCCATCTTCCATAACAGTTTCTTTGCTAACCAATTAAAGTATGGTTTTAATAGTTTTTCATATTTTTATATATTGCCAGTTTAAATATGGTTTTAGCAGTCTCTCATTTTATGTATAACCATATTTCAGTATGATGATATTTTCATAATTTCATTATTCATGTTACTTGAAGAAGGAAGGACATCATGCTGATACATCAATTGGTAGGTGTAGAATGATTTATAAACATAAGGAAAAAATTTTAATTCATGTTGGAACATACTACATGTTTCAACATGTATGTTCTACCATAAATTTAAAGTTTTTCCTTGTGCTTATAAATTGTTGTGTGCCCACGTATTCACTATTAATGTTGTTTTTAGATTGATTTGATTCTAATAATAAACGTTGATTTCAGTTTTCAAATTTGTTAAAAGAATAAGTAGATTTGATTTAATTTGAAAGGCTGTTTACATGAAGTCAAATGTGTTTTCCGTGAAATGACAATAGAATATAAGAATGTCGTTACTTTACGTTACTTAGTGGTATGTCTATTGTAAAATAGATTAAATGTAAGTGAATGCCATTTTACACTAATTATACATATATCTATATTTTTCACCCATTCTTTGTTAGTTGGATTTGAATGACTCATTCTGAGAGTGTTTGTAATGTAAAACACAATGGAAAAATCTTATTAAAAACAGCATTAACATCTCAGTCTGAAAGGTATTTAGTTGGATTTTTTAAGTATTGATTATCTTTTTTTAAATGAATAGAAACAAATATAATAACTTTCACCAAGAGAAGGAAATAAGTGAACACACAGGTAAAATAAAGGTTATTTCTATTTCTAGGTGTAAATATTGTTCCTTGAATTATCTCATAAGTCATCTTAGATTTAGTATAAACTTCCAAGACCATATTATAGTACATTTCAAATAGATGTTTTATGTGTAACAGTTCAAGGTTTTGTTGGGAGGGTAAACACTTTATTATACCTTTCCAGTTAATTTGTATCATACATGAAAATTCAAAGTTTTCTTAGAAAGATAAAAATGTAAATCATTACAGTTCAAATTTAATGTTTTAGTTTACATACTAGAGAAACTTAGCAACAGCCAAAACACAAGCTCTCATCTATCCAATTATGTAGCCCTGTGGCAATATGTTTGTTAGTGCACAGTCCAGGTAGCATGATGCCAGCCCATAATTCTGAATAACTGGCTGGCAGCAATCAATTTCACGTTTTTATTATTATGTTATCTCCTCTCTCTCTTTATTATTATTATAACAATAAGTATATGTACCCCATGTAAATTAGATGATTTTAATACTGTTACTTCTACTACTATTAGGAGTTTGGTACAGGCTTTCTTTAAACGAGTTCACATTGTGTTACTATTTATATTGGTATTTCACTAATTGTTCTCTGCCTTTTAAATTAGCTTCTTGATACACCAACTTTGTAAAACAATTGTATAAAATAGTGTTGTTGGGGAGTAACATGTATAATTAAGGTAAATGTTGTGAATTCAATCTTTAATGGAGTTTGACTGCATTTTGAATAGAAAATAACAAGTCATACAAAAACTTAGTATCAAAGTGTTTTAAGTTGCATTTCAACTCATTCAAAATCAAAGAACATTTAACTTGTGAAATGTTTATTACAGAGAAATACACACACATATATATATATATATATAAATATGGCCATGCAACATTTCAACTTTCTACTTAGGTCATCATCAGGCAAGAGAAAAATAACAATAATTTGACACAGTAGAGAATACAAGATTAAAATGTTCTAATCCTGTGAAGTAAGAACAACAATGAAATTAACCAACAGTATTATTGACTATTTACAAGCAGTGTCTATGGGGACAAAGAAATAATATTAAAAGCCTTTACTTTTTTGTCTTTATTATTATTATCATTTTTATTTTTTATTTTGTATAAACATCCTATTCATAAAGTGGTTTATTATAAATTCATTTTTTGTATAAGTTTCCTTAAAACAGATTAAGTGTATATAAGGACTATGTTATAATTAAAACAGGGGACATTTGGTTTATGGATAGGCTTTCTTTGATTAACATTTCAAGGTCAGAATTATCATTACAAAGAATGGTGAATCTTGAGTGAGTTATCGAGAATGGTAAAAGTGTCATTCAGTTTCCCAATATAGGCGCCTATATCGGGAAAACTAAATGACATTTTACTGTTCACATCCACAAGCACTGAGGTCAGGTAACATCTTTTAAGTCCACCAACTTCGGCAATCCGGAACCACCGACGAGAAACTGGACATCTGATAGCTTATTCAGGGATTCACCATTCTTTGTAATTGTAATTCCAACCTTGAACTCTGTTTTAATGTCCTCTGTTTTAAATATAACATAGTCCTTATATACACTTAATTTGTTTTAAACCAACTTGTTCTAAAAAATTAATTTATAATAAACCACTTTATAAATAGGATGTTTATACAGAATAAAAAAAGTTTTTAATCTTATTTGATCATCCCCATAGATACTGTTTGTAAATAGTCAATAATACTGTTGGTTAATTTTATTGTTGTTCTTACTTCACGAGATTAGAACATTATTTTAATCTTGTATTCTGTAGTGTGTCAAATTATCGTTACTTTCTCTTGCCTAATAATGACCTAAGTAGAAGGTTGAAACGTTGCATGGTCATATTTATATATATTGTTGCGTCAGCGAGGTCACGTGACTAGTGTCACGCCACGTTTCTAGAACTATCTTGTTCCTTCGTGAATGCCCTAGCATTTACTAGATATATGTTTGTCTGGTATATATAAAAGACGCTCACAACGTGACAACAATGTGTGTAGGTAGTGAGTAATTGAACTGCAGTCAGGAAGTATTGTTGAAGTTAACGTTCATTGTTAAAACATTTGTAAAAGAGCGACTTTGAAAATAAGTGTATCGGTAAAGTTATATTCAGAAAGAATAAACCAGTTTTATTAAGTAAGGACTTGTGTCGCTAAAGTTTCGTAGGAACGAAGTTACGGAAAATCAATTAACAAACGGAGACGTAACAATATATATATATATATATATATGTGTGTGTGTGTATTTCTCTGTAATAAACATTTCATAAGTTAGAAACAATAAAGTATAATGTTTTTTGTGATTACAAAGAACATTTTTTACTGAGTAAACATTAAATATCAACATTCTATTGAATTAGTAATCAAATATTAAAGGCATATGGCTCTGATATTTAAAATGGGTAACATGGTTGCTAAATAATAATAGAAAGTGAAAGTTTTGAGCTTACACATTAACTATACATGTTAGGACAAGAAATAGTTTTGTACTAATAAAGTGACATGATTGATCTGGCTGGCATAAGATTGAAATATTGTGAATTTCTTTTAAAAATTCACATGCAAATTAAAATTTGCAAACCTACAAGGGAAACACAAAGTGAGCACAATGATTGTTGCTGAATAACCATAATTTGTAGGCTTAATATTCATGATAAAAATTGTATTACACTGCAAGGTTATTTTTCATCATTCCTCTTTAGTTAGCTCATCATAGCATTTCAGATACATCTTTTTCTTCTTTTTTTTTGTTTGCCACAAGTTGCTGCTCTGGGAATCCTTTTGTTGAATATTAGGACTCATTAGCTGGGGTGGACTATGATGGCAGCCAGAAAACTATTCAAAAGATGTTTATATGCATTATTAATGCCTATTGTTAAACAACTAAGTCTGGTAAAGCAGTAGAACTATATAGGCTTATTATTTGTGATGAAAATCACACTTGGCTGTAGTTTTTTTTATATTACTATTTTCCTTTTCATAATTTTGAATTAGAACCAAACCAGATTTGAATTACCTGAATTCTGTGTCATAGACAAATTTATGGCTTTTATATATATACTTACATGCTCAGTGTTTTTGTTTTTCGACAAACTAGATGTATGAAGACTTGCCTGATCTCATATTTTATGTAAAAGGTTGTTATATTGGTAAACTGATTTTAATAGATGTTTCTGATGTCTGTAGTTTTAAATCTTTGTTTTCTAACTTGTATGAAACACATCAGATTGAAAAAAGTTAACCATTTTAAACGTTTTATGTTTGTTGATAACATGACAAGACTGTGCGCAGACACTATATACCAACTTTTCTTATTTAATTATAAAATAAACAAATTCATTAGAAAATATTTCTATACAAATTTTAATGTAGCAGCCTGCAGCAGTATTTGGTAAAATTAATTGCAATTAGCTCATCACACCTAAATGGATACAAATAAAATTTATTGAATAAAATGTTTTATTTATTTTACTTTATACATTAAAAAACATCATAAATTGTGATTTTGGGTTAATTTCAACATACCGCATATGATTTCCAGAGTGAAAAACATACATTTTTTTTTTCATTGTGGAGTGACCCAATAACAGCTCTGAAAGACTTTAAATTACAGTAACACACTTTTTACTATATGCTTAAATAATCTGATAATTATTGCATTGTGTTTTAAAACCATAGACAAAACTTTATCAGGTGATTCTCCAAAGTAGCT